GTATATTAGTGCAGTGGTTCTTAATTCTAAATATGGGTCCCAGTAAAATATTAGTGTACACCTCACTAGAATGAGAATCATTTATCATTTTCCAGGCAATTGCTCACAATGAGTGGTTTACTGAAAAGGAATTCCCTTCCCAAGTGCATTGGAGACACCTTTGATAAAGGGCAGACCAAAAAAACAAAAACAAAAAAACAAAAAAAACACAACTATTTTTTAAATTTATTTTTTTAATAAAAAGGACACTCCAAGCATTGTAAACCTCTACATCCCACTGCAGTCGTTATGGTGCCAGGAATGCTCTGCTGCCCTTCCAGAGCAATTTGTCAAACCATTTTAGAACGGTTGACAACTTACCAGTCACCAGCTTTTCCTGCTAGAGAGCTGATATAGTCGGATATAAAACCAGTTTCATTGACCAAGAGTATTCAGCTAACACATCCCCCCCATTGCAGAGACAAGTCGCTCTTGCAAGGGTAGTGGAAGCAAAGCAAGTAGTTAAACCGTTCTAAAAAAGTTTGACAAATTACTCCTGGCACCATATGCAAAAAATTGGAACTTTGAGTGTTTCCTTAACCCAGGAAAAAAAAAAAAAAAACACTAATAAAAAATAATCACTACCGATCTTACATTGCTACCAAGTTTAATTTTATTTATTTCATTCTTTTGGGATATTTATGGGGAAAGGAGGACAATTTCTGACATCTATCATTATATTCTGTTCCATCTAGAGCACGTTGCATGGCTCAATAAGGTAGAATAGAAAGGGTTTCCCTGAACTGGCTAAGGAAGGGAAAGACATGACTGCTGCCCAGGAATGGATTAAATGGGATACATATGTAGCAAAGGGGACTGGTATATACGTGAAGCTGGGGGTGGGCCCTTGACACTCAGCAGGAAGGGAGATATCTGACAGGAGCTTTCCCACCCTCCCTCCCTGTGTTAGTCTATGTTCGTAGTAGGTGGTGGTGGTGTTTTCTCGGTGTCTGGTTGTCTGTTTTTGTTTTGTCACAGCGGAATACCTGGCCAGCGCAGGGGAAGGCAACTGCCAAGTCGGATTGGGGAGTCGCAGTCTGCTTGGGCTGAAGGCAGAAGACAGACTGCTTTGGACTCTGGTAAAAGGATGTGAGATCTGTCTGATGGATGAATCACCCCATCAGCTGACAGTTGGTATTAATGCTGGCAAAAATGTTAAATAAAGCTGTGGCCGTTGCCCTTAACCATTATACAGGTGTTGTGTGTTTATTGGGCAACGGATGGGTTAATGGGTCTGCAGTCAAGCCGTTTTTAATGTTTTGGCACTGTAAACTGTAAGCTATATTAAAAGGATTAAATGTAGAGCCATAACCCAGTCTTTTTCAGTTTTCCCCTCACAATGTTTTTTTCTTGTACCATTAAGCTTGCCAAATATTGGAATCACAAACAAAGACACCTATGGTTAAGTTTAATAATAATGATAATAAAAAGAAAAATACGTCAACAGTACTGTTGGGACATAAATGCAGAAGCATGTAAACACTGTCTTTCAGAAAAAAGTAGCCATATTTGTCAAATTATTAAAAGATCAGTTTAGAAAAATATATACTTGTCATTCGTTCACAAAAAAGTTCCTTTCCAAGTTGTACTTGCCAATAAGACTGGTCAGAAAAAAAAAATATGCATGAAGTGGAGTGGCACTCGCTACAATTTTCTATCCGTAGTGCCTCCAGACTAGGGTGGTCCATTCCCAGTGTATAAAAAAAAAAAATCATGAAGGAAATTGTACCGTGCTCATATAGATTGCTTATAGGCAGCAGATTGTATTGGCCCAGATCCTGCTTTCTTCTTGATTAGGGGGGTAAGGGGGACAAATCAAAAAAGAAGGACAAGTACATAGATTGGGCGGTGATGCCTTTTGGTATATTTAGATATTTAGAACACAAAAGTATCAACACAACATGAGTCTTACCAGATGATGAGGACAGTGAGGTGGTGGTCGGTGATTTGGGTCTATCCTAGGAACCACTGTACATGTTGTGGGGGAACTGCATGGAGTATTCTTGAAAACCCGCGGACTTCGGTGGCTCAGCATTGAGACTCCTCAGAGTTGATTCCTTTCATGGCCTGAAATCAAGATCCTACAAGAAATTAGAATTTCACGTTAGATTCTTAGACATGGCAGAGATTTTTATAGATTTTCTGAGACAATTATCTAGCACTTCACCCACTTCCCACTCCTTAGATCTGTTTGACTATTTCCCCTATACCATCTCAAATGAACATTTTCTTTTTTTTTTTTTTTTAAAGAAAAAACATTGGAAAGTGCAAATTTGACTTTTCCAGCCAAATATATCTTGTGTTAACTTTTCTTTTTATAGGTATCATATCTATATCGATCTTACCAAATAACATATGCATAAAAAAAATATATAGTTTATAGGGGAACAAGGACCGGGAATAATTAGATTTATTTGTGAACAATATTGAAGCTGCTCAGCTGAATTAGGTTGAATGCAGATTAATGAAGACAAGAGAAAGGGTCCAAAAATCAGTAGCCTCTGGAATCTGATCTTGTACCATAAAACATTTATCCATCCATTATATTTACAGCGGAGTGATAAACTACTTATCATGCAATCTCACATATCACACAAGACAAAAAGAACTCGCTAAAATGATGGCCAAATAGTGCCTGCTATCCATTTATAAAAAGTAAGGTTCACACTTTTTGTGATTTGGCCTGTTTGCTGGGATAGGACCAGCCACCAGCACAAGCTGGATGAAACAGACACAGCGAAGTATAGAGTGAAATCTCTTTCTTCGAGAGTATGAAGAAACGGAAAGCTAGTTTGTTGCTAGCCAATTGCTGCAGTTGGAAGCACTCGGAACTGAGAGCAGGATGAGTGTACTCACTACTCAACACCAGGAACTTTACAATAACGCAAATTTGTTTGGTCCTTAGAGCCTTTAAAGACTGATGAATAATTTTAAAAGAAATAATGATTGCAAAAGGATTTTCTGTGGTCTATTATATTAACCCAAAGCCATTTTGTTTTCGTTAAACTGACACGTCGATCTTTAACAGGAAGTTTAAAAAGGTGTTTCTAGTTACAAATAACATTATTGGTGTAGCTTTAAATTGTCCATTCAATTCTATCTAGCATTACAGCAATTACAATTGTTGTTGGAAGATCGTTAAATAGGACATGCAGAAGATAAAAAGAAAAATAAGTGCAAGAAGAGTTACAAATAAATTCTTTTTTTAACTTTTGCAGAATTCACAGAAAGTTGCTTGAAAATTCTATACTACGAGAATGCAATAAATGGCCATTATTAGAAAAATAAGATTAGAGTTTATATCTAGATAGACTGCTAATATGATAGTTCAGGGGTTTTAGAGCTTTGATTTAGATTGATGGATTAGCCCCTACAGTAATGTCCACAGATTAGCACTTGGGAGGGGCTCAATTGGAGGCCTTCTCACTAGCTCACAATGGATCCATAAAGATACAGGCATGCAGAGTATGTTCCGAGAGCTTCAATTTGAGTCTAATAGTTATTAATTCCTTCCTGGCTCTAGAAACCCAAGCAGACATTAGGAAATCCTACCCTGGCAGTCCCACGCTCGCACTCCCAGAGTTCATTACCTCATCTCGGCCTCATCCATCATCGAGAGCTCTTACTGTCTGTGCACAGACCAAGAGCCATGAAAAATAATGAATCTCACTCCAGCCCAGTCTACGTTTCAAGCATGCAGGCCATGAAACAAGACTGGCGGAGATTCCGTGGCTAACGAGCAGTCCAAGGAATTCCACGCATTTACTTTCTTTCAATGTTTCGAGTCTAAAAATAGTTTCTACGTTAGCAGCTCTGTTTATTTTGATATAAAAAAATAAAAATTACTTTTAGAGAATTTTTTTTTTTTTTTTTTTTTTTTTAAAGCCAGCCCCCTTTCCCACTCTCGTTCGTTACATGTTTCTAGAATCTGACATCAGCCACGTGGATCAGTGGCCAATCCTAACCTACTCTGTTATAAAGGTTTTCATAAGGACCAACTAAGAACCTGGCCAGTATTTAGAGTGACCCAAATACAAAAGGTTTAAAGAGGAGACCAACTCAAATGCTTAATTGCTTAGGAAACATTCTTAAGAATTACGCACATTTTCAACATATATGTAGGTATCTAGGTAGATATATCCATCCTTAAAAGTGTGTGTGTGTATGAACTGCTTGAAATTCCTTCCAATCCTATAGAAGCAAATTATGGTAATGCAGAAAGAAAGGCTTCCTGATCTCCTTGTGCAAATGTCAGAAGCCTTTCTGACTCAGCTTGTAAGCTCTGTAGAGCTGGGAGCTGTAATACCAGCTGCAAAAATTGTGCCTCCCTTATAAAATGTAATGGTAGCTGTAAAGCTCTGAGTACATCTATTGACGCTCCAATATTACACGTTGTGACAGCTAACTCTTTGCACTCCAAGTCTCAAACAGACTGAAGGACCGATTCTGTAAACAAATGAGATGGCGAGCAAATTAATCTGAGCTTAAAAATGATAGCAGAGGGTAAGCCGTTTGTTATTGGCCTGCAGTCAGCCTATTTTTGATTTTACGCTACCATTATACACGCAGATACATACACATGGTTTAAAAAAAAAAAAGTTATGTATTTTACATCCGTTGCAGCACGTCGAGGGTAAGGAAACTATTTCACAATGGAAGTGGATTTATTTACACTGTGTAGCCATCAAGGCGCAGAAAGAAAAAACACAAATGCAGGTATAGAGCAAAGCAGACAAAAAGTACATTATGCGTGAATGACAGAGTTTTGAATACAATACGATGGCAACTAGTTACAATGCAAAGCCCTACAGGGCAGACTGCGTAGGAAGCCCAGAGAATGCCCGTGACAGACACCCATTGGGTAACAATGAAACACACAGGTAAACAGATCCCTTAAAATAACAGGCATGTCATGTGACAGCATGCTATAATATTACAATGCTGGTTACACTAACAGGACACCAGTACTGGGTATGTGCACAAATAGGACAGATATGAAAAAAACCCTGAAGATTATATATAGGTTTAACAATGTAGTAAAATCCAAATGTCAGAGGAAAGAGAAGAATATTAGTGTGTGTGCAGTCTAGCACAATGCTCAGCCAAGCAAAGAATTACATTTTAACCATAATGTGCTCGGAAACAGTCAGTGTGTTAACCTTTTACTGCCTCCACCGGGAGGTTAATCCATGTATCTACTACTTTTCTGCAATGAAATACACACAAGCTTACAACCTCATAATTATGACATCTGGTCTATAATTTAAATAAGTACTGTAATTGCAATTCTAGAATCCACACTGAATCAGCATTAACATCCATTACTTCCAAACACAGAAACAAGTCTCCTAAATAAAACAAAATTATTAACTATTTTCTACTTTTTTTGTTTAAATTTGTTGTTTAAGGATTCCAGAAGACTGAATAAAACTCAAGTTGAAGGCATTATTAGGCCGTCGGCACTCAAATGGTTAAACAAGCCGTAACATTACACAAAATCAAGTGTCCCCTGAAGGCCCCTAGAGGGACTTTTTACATCATTCTTACCAACATACACATAATAGCCTATTGTATTGACATCTATTCCATCAACTTGTATAGTACTAGAATGGCAACATTTTAGTATAAAGAGGTTATTTTTAAACAGAGAAAAACACGACAAAAAACAAACAAAACACAACCATCTTGGAGGCATCTTCTATGGAGACCTGACTAACTTGAGGAACTTCCGATTTCCAAACAAGAACAAGACCGCTTCACCCAAGCGTGTTGTAACGGTCAGGAAGAGGCCCGAGTCACCAGTGGCAGCATTAGGGATCGTTTAACAAGCCATTGCCCCATTTAAGTCCTGGAGCTGAACCGAGCAAGATGAACACCTGCCAGGTTATTAAAGATCAGTTCTACTAAGCAATATCTGGACAAGTCATGCCTGACAGTTTGAAACAACACAGGCAGACCAAAACATATGGGGATTGTCTTTTATTGAAACACTATATAAAATGAAGAATACGTTCCTCATCTCAGCTCATAATAGCAGGTTTCCCTTCCACTCCTAACCTGGTTGGTCCTAGTTCTTCTCCAGCATATATACATAGGTTTTAAGTTTTGTGAACTTAACAGAACTCCTCCATCTAGTCTTCTTGCCGCTATATATTGCCCTCTTTAACCTTGGACGAATCTCACAAGAGTAGGCATTCGGTTGCTAGAATTGGACATGACAAAAATGGGGCACATGGACGTTGTGGCAGGCTTATGCAATGTATGATCATATACTGTAACTAAACCACCATTATTTTTGCCTAGATGAGGTGTTTACAAAAAATAAAACTAACCGTTTAGTGAATGAGTGGATCTGTTGGATCTTGTATGAGAGATATAAATTAGTTTTCTATTTAGCTGGCAAATTCGGTTTGTGTTCCTTTCTAACCCTGCCCTTGTTTCGAACACATTATATAGACCTTGAAATGCGGATATTTAGTGAATGCTGAAAACCAGACTATACAGAGTAACCTTGTCTACAAATTAATTTCAGGACAATACATGCTTTTACCATAACTCTCACTTTCCTTCACTCACCATCCAAAAAGGTTTCTGTGGGTGTTTTTCACAACTGCCCTTCACAGGATTTTCTCTTCTTTAATGTAAACTGCCATAACTCTAAAACGACTTTATATTGATCAGTAAATAGGCCTTTGGAAAGATCTAATCGGTACGGTCCAATATCTCCTAACATATCACTCAATGACTACACAGACAGGTGTCAGAAAAAAAAAACTAAATAAAAAAAACCCACATGGAAACAATCCTTTGACTTCCTATGTGATGGTCCGAGAACTTCACCTCCTAGATCTCTGAATATTTACCTTTGTTATGAAGACAATTGGACAGAAATTTCCTCCTCCTCCCTCTTCCTATACATGAATGGCTCAATATCATGGAATTAACACTACAATGATCCATTAGGAACTATATTACAAGTGGTTTCTTTTAAATTACCATATGACTGATGAGTTCCACTAAATCTGTCACTGGGTAATGAGTTCTCGGTGCAAGCATATAAGAGACCAGGCTCAACACATATCAAAGATGGAGTGCACCCAATCTTTACAGCATCTACTACAGTACACTATGACAGATAAAGTGTAAATTGAGGTTACTGATCCAGTATCCGAATGATGCCATGGCACTGGTTCCTCCACTGTGCAAACAGCTGCCACCGTTAATTTTCTTTAGGAATACCAAGGTCAAGGGCATCATTTCGTTAAAGAGAACTACAATTATTTCACACCACAGAGGACAGAGAACCCTGGCTAAGAGTCAAAACCATGCAAACAAACAATCTCCGTCCCTACCAAGCTCATACAGTAAAACCCAGGATGTCCTATATAGTTCCCTCCAACTATCTTATGATAAAGGTCCGTAGGTTTTCCTGTATTGCTTACGGTTCCCCATTAATCTTTTAGGCCTGCCTCACCATATACAAACCAAGACCTGAAATAGGCTATGCCAAGAACAAGTTAAATACTGTATGAGGACCACTGGGAAAGAATTTGACAAATGGGTTTTGCCTGGGGTATTTGTTGGAGAACAGGTAAATACTGTGATAATTCCAAACCTGGCAACTTTCCCAAGTCAGCAGCCTGGACAACAGTGTTTTTTCCCCCAAACACAGAAACAGAAAGGGGCAGACTAACACAATTGGGCAGAGCCTGCCTGAAAAGAAAAGGAGGCAGCACTACAGTAAAGGCACACACCCAATGCCTGGCCAATGTCTACAAGAAGAACGTCAATATTGGTTGGGTTATGGGGAATGCCAGAGTTGTTAAATAATTAATCTAGGCTTTTAAAAATACTCAATTTTATATAGTTTTTTTTCTTAAGACCACAACCACTCTAAGGGTGTAAAGCCAGTTTATAAGCCGTAGCGATAATGTCCTATTACTTTCAGTTTTGATTGTGGTTTAAACCAATGTAACTCGAGTCCTAGGTCAACGAGAATTCTTATTCCCAGTTCATGCTGTCTGAGAAGTGTACACCATGGAGATTTATACTGCTAGAAATGTAACTAGCATTGTAAACACTGACTAATGGACAGACACAAGAATATGACAGACCAAACTTGGAACAATTGTTGGAGGATCTATTTTGCCTGTGTTTATCTTACCTTTTACCAGAAAGCTCCTATTAATAATATAGAGCACTGTTAAATATACAGCAGTGTTTATAGAATGAAAGCAGGGACAACTCCTTAATTGTGTAAACCAGAAAGGTGAAAATTAAGGCATGGTATAGATGCATTTATGGCTTTTAAGATTAATATATTTGTTTTGTTCTAGAAGCTCTTAAAGAATTAACCAGTTACTGACATAAACCTTCCATGTCAGAATAGGAATATTAAATGGTAGGGGGTGTTGAAGCCCTGATAAGGAAGCAGTGCCACTAGAGACCTAGACCTGAGAAGTTTATATACCAGTAATGGGGTGGGCTGCACTTGGTCTTAGAACGCAAAGATGTGTGATATTTTGTAAAATCTCTTAGAATCTATTCTAAACCATGCTTAGAGCTTCCAAAATAAAAATAAGAAATTAATAAACAGCTGCTAGATTCAGGCTTCAAGAGCAGGCAAACTAATTTCTATCAGTCTACTATGTTTAAATTTGTAATCGCTACAAAATCGCTCATAGCTGCCAATGTGAAACAATAACACAACTCACATGGGTTGTAGAATCACTGAAACAGTGGTATAAAAGCAGGCCAATTTTCCTGGCAATATTACATTAAATCAAAACACAAAAATGTTGTAGTCGTTCATGTCTAACAGGTCTATGGCTGGCAGGATATAGTTACTATTGTTCTTAGGATCAGCTCCCTCCGGCACCAAGGATCATGAACCTTTCACCCTTGTAGAAAAGAACTGTGCTGGCAAAGCTTATACTAGGATTTAACAATAACAAAAATCTTCACGACCTCCTGGCAGAGAACACACAAAATAGAAGGGATGGAGAATATGTTTCTGGGCGAGTATAATAAAAAAAAATAAAAAATAATATACACACACATACATATATACACACACACACACACACACACAAATTAAAAGTGCACAAATAATATTTAATTGCCATGAAGAATTATTGTTTACACACACACACGAATGTGGAGGGGAGTGACACAAGAGGACATTAGCCAATTCCACTCCAACTGATCTAAAATCAGGTGCATGCAAGTGAATGTAGTCAATCTGTGTCTCCTAACCCACTGAACTATATAATCAGGCTGGTTATAGTCTAGAACCAGATCACAGGTAAACCCATATCTAACCTAGCAGTCAGGTCAAGACATGGAAAACTGGACTTCCTTCTGTGATATTATTTTTATAATGGCCAACCCACAATGCAAAGTTTTAAATACAAAGACAACATAAAAAAAAAGTCAGATCGAATAATAAGAATACAAAATGCTAAAAATACAGTTAGCAATTTCTACTTAAAAAGGAAACTAAGTTATAAAAATGCCAATACAAAAAAATAAAAAAACATTCCATGGTAAAACCAATAATAAAATTATCATATTTAAAGTGCACAATGTAGGTGTGAATAAAAATAAAATAAAAAATAAAATAAAAAATTATATATATATATATATATATATATATATATATATATATAAAACAAAAAAGAATGATCTTGAAATATAAAAAGCAAAACTGAAAAATAATCCTAAAGTATGCTCTAATTGAGAAATTAACCAACCCAAGATATGGCCAGTAATTATTAAATAATTATGCACACACAATAACCTGCTTAAGTCACAAGATCCTCTCTCTAAAGAGAGGATTTGTTACATTAGGGAATTAAAAAGTGAAGCCATCTCCTTGTGGCAATCAAACCTTTCATCGGATGCTCACGGACTTAATCTAGAGCTTGTTACTACCCGTCTCTGCTGCTACTATTTCTTACAAAACCTCTAGACTGCTTAGAACTGCATGGATCAAGAAGACAACTAGGAGTTTGACTTCATTATAGCAACTGTCAGAAGCTTAAAAGAAAACCCTCAGCGGCTCCATCCTTAGTTCGACGTTGACAAGAGCTGAAAATACAGGGTTGGTTTTCTTTTATCTAGAGAAGGATTTGAAGGAATCAAGCACAAAGGCCTGGAGTAGCAAAGGACAGAGAGTCATTTCAACCTGCTGCCCTACCGAGAACTAACAGCTGCCGTCAATACATTGAAACCACACCGCCATCTATCATACCCCCAACCTGTCTAGGCCTCAGATGAAGTGAGGCTTCCAAGTAGACTGTTTCATCCAATATTCTCCATGGGATAAGCTGCCCTCAACAAACACACACACACAAGCCAAGACGAAAGGATCACAAAGACTTTCCCTTTCCCCCTCCACCGCACCCAAATTCAAATTTGGATAAACCAGCAAATGCATGGGGAAGTCAGACTGAATAAACAAACTACAGCCACATTACAGTATATAGATCTACAACAGCAAGACGCTCTATAAAAGGTTACCTTTGGGGTGGGGGAGGAGGAAAGCAGATAAAAAAATCGAACGAAAATTTTTAAATTTAAGGGTGAATGGTATAGGATATTTTTATTCACAGGGATAATTAGCAAAACAACAAGTGTGAGGTCTCAAGGTATTGGTGATATTTAGGTCTAACTACATAGAGTGGTTTTGATAAAATAATGTAGTTGGTTATCAGCCATTTTGCTGGAATGGCAGATATAAAATGAGGAGCGTTTTTACGAAATTATGCCATTTCTCCCTCCCCTTACCATCTGATAACATTTGGTAAACATGGAAAAAGGTGCCTGTTTTAAACTTTAAACCGAAGATGGCTGACCTCTGTGCATTCTCTTGTGAAACTTGTGAATTCCAGAGAAAACCCAAAATATAAGCGTTAAACGCACACACACACACAAATGCATTAAATATACAATTTTTAAAAAAATTTTTGAAAGAACAATAATAAAAAATAAACAATTCTCTCTACCCAAGCAGAAGAATAAGAACAGACAAATATATAGACAGCCTGTAACCCCGTGGTGAGGGCCTGTGGGTCTGGTTCTTAAGTGTATGGCTCTGGACAATATCAGGAGTTATAGATTATAATGGAAAGGAAAGTCTCATGGAGCAGATACAAATGAACGATCTGATAACTGACAGGCTGTAGAGGGGGAGAAGGTCACACAGACCACTTCATGCCTGCAGTTTCACAAAGCTGACAAGGTGCTGTGCTGTGCTCTGTGAGAGGAAGTCCATGGAGGAAGAAAGAGTGGCTTTTCAGTTTAACATTATATGGATGCAACCTCAGGAGTTGGGGGTTGGGGAGTGCTCAAGGGCAGGTCAAGATCATCATGGTTGATGTAACCAAATGGTTGCACCTTCTCAGATTAGAAACACATCAATTTGAATGTTATAAGGTCACCATTGTACACCCGGAATGGAGCTCATCATTAACCTTGGAAGAATTAAAAAGCAGAATTGAAACTGCCAGGAAGAGAACCTGCAGCCATGAGAGGTTTGACTGGGTTTTTACAGTTGGTTAAAAAAAAATCAATATATTAAACGTTTGTTAAAGGGAAGGGCTGAGGTGATAAAATTTATGAGCCAAGTCACCAAGGTGAGTCAACTCCCCAAGGAAAAGTAACAGCCAAATGTGAAAATGGAAGTCACACTGTACTTTAACTGTTTGAGTGCCAGAGGCAGGATGAACCCAGAATGTGTCTGAAACACTAACAAAACCTTGGTGAAAATTCTTTAGGATCGAGAGTATGGTGTAAGATTACCTCTGTGTAATCGACAAGCCTGACAATTGTACATCTACCATCTAAGACAGAGAGAACTCCCAAGCATTCTATAGATGGAACAGAAAGGACAAAGCCATTGCGGAGGTTAAAGACACATCACAAAACTGTCAATCAGCATAGTGAGCGGGCAAAGTCCTTGTAGCATGTGAAATGTCTCTGATCATGCCAATTTAATTAGAAAGTAAATGGGTCCTGCTGCCAATCAATGGTACAACACCCTACAGAGAACTGCAACAGAAGGCTATTGTATGGATATATTTCAGAAACACGCTTAAGTTTTTTTTTTTTTTCCCTTTTTTTTGTTATAATGAAACTTTCCAATTACCACATGTTTTTTTATAATCTCCAATTGAACATTTTATACCACGTAATTTGACCAAGACACAATGAACCAAACCAATAGGGCAGCTATGCATTCTGAACAGAATTCAATGGCCACACTAAAGCCAATGTGGCTAATGATGCACTAATAGAGTGTTCAATGCGGGCAATGTATTTATATACCCATCACAAAGCTTGCACCATCAGTCAAGAAAAAAATAAATAAAATAAAAACAGGAAATAACGCCATGGTCTCAATTATGGGATTCTGATCCCAGATATCAGAAGAATGCTAGAACAGCTCCCTTTACAGTCATGCATTCAAAGCACATTAATTAATCCTTTTATCCAAAGCCTAATGGACCCAAAGCTCAGGTACATCAAGCAAAGTCAAAGGATCCATCAAGCGTCGGTATCGAAGAGGAAACCTGAACATCCAAGCATCAGCAGATTAGCGGTGATCAATAATATGCAGGGTTTAAAGTCAATTAGCAGTATGTAGGATTTCTCTTAAATATATTCATGATGAACTGTGGAGATAACAAGGGAGTCTGCAGTGACACACTGAGAGCATCTTTAAGCCACATTAATAGAGCCCTGGAGCGGAGCCCTGGTAAATATCAAAAATATAACCACACAGAGCAAATCGCAAAGGGAGATCACTGGAAAAGAGCAATTCTTGCCCACAGAGCTTACAATTAAGTGTTATAAGGACCTAGAGCGAGTGTGTTCTAACAACAGAGCTATGCTATATTACATGCAAAAGAAAAATAAGGGAGTTATTTTTTAGATTAGGTACCTATGATCATTGTGGCTCTTGCTCCCTTTTATAAAATAAAAAAAATAAAAAATAAAAAATAGCAAAATGCTTTGCCAAAAAAAAAGAAATAAAAAAAAAAAAAGCTTGCTATTAGAATGCCGAGAGAGCTTTAGAGGGCGTTCTTATAACAAATAGAAAAGACACCAAGAGTTCCTCCGTAAACATCAGCTGATACAGGAGTTTTTTGGTACTTCTAGTCTTTCATCTAAAATTAAATGCTCGGTTTTGTGGGGTACGCACAGTGGTATACATACTGGGGTCGCGGCTGCGACGGGCCCGGCCCACCAGGGGGCCCGGCCACCCTGCGACTCGGTATGTATGCCACTGTGGCCAGCCTCTTCCTCTGGGGGGCCGGGCGGCCGCCAGCCTGCCTTCCCAGGAACCCAGCAACACCACTGGACCCCAAGTAATCCCGTCAGCTCTACAAAAGGTAATCCCTCCGCCTCTCAGCTCCGAATGCGAATGCACGGCAAGAGAAGCGCGCGAAATCAAACCGCCCATAGGAAAGCAGTACTCAATGCTTTCCTATGGACGTTCAGTGTCTTCTCACTGTGATTTTCACAGTGAGAATCGCGGAAAGCTCCTCTAGCGGCTGTCAATGAGACAGCCACTAGAGGCTGGATTAACTCTCAGTGAAAACGTTTAAACGCCATGTGTTGCGGCCACGGCCCACGCCGAGTAAGCGTGGGGGAGGGGGCCATTGATCAATTATTGCACCGGGGCCCCATGGGTCATGTGTACGCAATTTGCTAGAAGTATGGGACATACTTGATGCAACCTAATTACAGGTCAAAAATAAATACATTTTAAAATGTTTTTTAGTCTAACAAGCATTTGTTCATATGGGGAGTTAAAAAAAACAAAAACCCTCAGACATTTTAGAAAACAGATGTGGTTATCCCCTTCAACAATCAAGTGTGACATTCCAGGACCAAAATAAACTTCAAAATAAACAGGAGATGAGACAAAGCATACCGTGTACAACGTTGGGTTCAACACCAACACTGCTAGCATAACTAAACACAATACCAAGAAATACAGATCTCAAAAGCAGTGTGTACTAAATGTTCAATTTACTTTATTAAAACAAAATGGAACGGGACACACAGGACATTCACACAATGAAATGGCCATTACTCTAAGCTTGCTACCTTTCTGGATTTTCACTCAAGACAATCTGTGGCAGACGACACCATGAAAACACAGATGGGGAGATGGCGTGATCTCTTCCTCTACAGACTTTGTGTGTACAGAAGGAATAACTGGTCTAGATCTTTCAGTGCAGTTCGTTCACCTGCTAAAAGACAATGGAAGAAGTCTATTCAAGAAGAGAACACCAAATATAACGGAGGCACCATTAAGACCGGTGCTTTTGTAGACAGCAGAGACTTGGGGAGCCTAGGCCATGTACGCAGCCGCCATATTACAGTGAGCTTATCCTTATTATAGTTTGCTGCTCGATTTCTGGGCAAAGCAAGTCTGAAGTAGTAATTTAAGCATCACTTAACTTTACAGACCAAGGGCCTTCAACCCTTGGACATCCTACACCAGAAAGCCCTTTGAAACAGATCAGCAGACCTTTTCCTGTGTTTATAGTCTGTCACAGACTGCAACTCCAATTATCCTTTGCCACATGCAACCCTGGCCCAAAAGCACGCACATGATAGGAGTTAGATGGTAGACAAGGTGTGCGTTAAAAAAAACTGCATTGCACCCCCGACATGTACCCAAAGGGACAGCGAAAGAGAAACTACATTTATATGATTATTTTCTTCATGTTAGAAGCATATTGAGCCCATCTCGCACAAATTCTGGACCAGTTAAGCCATCGGATCTACTAGCCAGATTGCTAACCTGCGGTCGCTTTGGGAAGAGAATTAATGGTTAGTGGCTAGCCTTTCTCCATAGTGACCAGAACAATACTTGAGACATTCACGTGGTCTGTATTATTAAATAAAACAGGAAGGGGGAGGGCAACAGTGTGAATGGAGCTTCGGAAATCTTGACTCTGCACATTATGTAATGAAATCTCTCTCAAAAAAGTAGGAAGCAGTCTTACAATTTGGACAGTAGGAACTTATAAACTTTACTAGAATTTCAGGACCAGTCTGACTGAACTTACACACAAACGTTATAGTCATAAATAACCCCCATTCCACAGCTCCTGGGGCTATTTAAGCTCAGCAGATACATTGTGGCTCATAGATTATATGATCATGTTCTAATACACACATAGGTTGGGGCTCGACTCTAAATTAGTAATAAATTAAACGGAAAGGAATAAATTGGTCAGAATACGGCAATAAGTAACAGTTTACTGAGCCATTATCTCACGAGATAAGAAGGGCTGGTATCAATGAAGTTCTATTACTACTGTTTATTTAGGCAGATTTTTCTGGCCACATGTACAGGATGGGGCCAAACCCTCTGCTCTTAGCAAATGGACACCCCCTGCATTGCTCAGCTGCTATCACCTGGCAAGATTTGTCATTTGTCTGCAGGGTAGAAGACGACACAACTGTGCAAAAAAAAAAAAAATACAAATCTTACAGTGACGTACCACCATGCTGTACATGGATCCCATTTTACCACAGTAAAGAACCAGCCTGCACATCAGTGCAGTGTCATGCTCCTTTCTCCAAACCTGCATGCTGATGCAGCCTCAGTCACCCCCCTTAGCCAACCCCACGATTTACGCACTAGTGCAATGCCAGCCACACTCATTCCGCGTCCACCACTGCACACCAGTGCACTTGGACAGGTTAAATCAGGTCTGAGGTTTTTGAGTAGTACTCTAGAAATAGGTTGTACTACCAAGGCTAGATTTATCTTATCTAAAAATCAGACCCAGCCAGTAAAACTACCAAGAATTATCTAAATCATTTAGAACAGAGGCTCATAAAATAACACATCATAAATACCTGGATTTAAAAAGCCATAGGCAAAACAGGCAAGAGAAAAGGACTGACTATACGATTAATTAACTTTTTTTATTTATTTATTTTATTTATTTTTTAAACTCATCATAGCCATGAGAGAGACCAACATGAAGTGTAGTAAAAGGCATTGCTCTGAACATGTAAAATGTAAATACATAAAAGGGGAAGAGTTTGATTGATACATCAGAGAAAAAAAAACTAAATAATTGCAACAACCAACAGTTGTATGGGCAAACAACCATCACTTCTGTATACTCTACCTCATTCATTTCAGATTACACACATTATTGGCTTTTAGGGATAGACATAACCATTTCCCTTACAGTCTAGAATTGAAGGGGCCCAAATTAGAGAGGGGTTATTGTATCAGGGGTGTAAAAGGAACTGCATTTACATGAACACATTAGCCCTAAAACTAGGTGTAATTTCCTTCAGATCTGTCCTGGAAACATATCTCCAGCAGAGAGCTCAGGTAACAGACAGTGTGTATGTGAAACAGTGCACCCATCCTTCTCTGAAACGAGGCAGACATCTGATAGTCTGTTAAAAACGCTCTCATGATAAAATGAAGAGGGGGGAGAGAGAAAAAAAAAAAAAAAAAAAAAGGAAAACCCTGGGTGGGGTAGGAATTATTCAAAGATATTTACAGCCAATGGGCGGATGTCCAGACAAGACTTTCAATGCTGTTAACCTCCCCAAAATAATGTAATCAGATTCCTAAAGCCGATTAACAATAATGTTTGTATCATACATATCACTAGTTATGCCAGGTCTTCCTATCTTCCTATAGTATAATTTGCTAAATATAGTCTATTCTCTGTCCATAGCTGGACCAACCAAAAAGCAAAAGCATAGAATACGTAACAAAACGACTTCCCTCTCTTCCCACTGGGCGCAATGGTGTAATGACCATTTGTGATAGAACAGGCCTTCAATAACTGATGGGTTTGATTATACTGGCCGTTTATATCCGAAACATTCTAGGCAAGTTTTCCCCTACACTAGAGATGCATTCACACCACGTGTACATTATGTTCTTGAACAAGCCTCATCTACGACACAGGCAAACTGCCTGGATTGCCCTTTACTCTGCTGGGGGTCTCACAGAAATTAACAATACTCCGGCATTGAAGAACCGTATACAAACACTTCTCACTTACCGTCCGGGTTCTGTTCCTACGACCCGGTCGTAGAACAAATTGGTCGGTAAGTTAAGAGTTAAGGGATTCCCTGCTCTGATGCATTCATCTATGTTCAGGGAAACTTTCCCGAACATAGATTTGAGTGATTCCCCTGCACTGGGCATTTTTTTTTTTTTTATGTTCAGGGAAGTTCTCTCTAACATAGATTAGAGGGATTCCCTGCGCTCATGCGTTCGTCTATGTTCGGGGAAGTTTCCCCGAACATAGACATGCGCACCAGAGCAGAGAATCACCATGACAACTCGCATTTACACCTGGTCGAAATTGCGTGGCGTCATGAAACAGGTAGGTCGCTAAATGGGGACCACCTGTACCCTTGTTTGCCTTTTACATAAAAGGATGATATAAAGCAGAGGTGTCCAAAAGGTAGATCCCCGGATGTTTCAAAACTACAACTTCCATGATGCTTTGTCATTCTAAAGGCATGCAAAGCAACATTGGAGTAGTTCTAAAACATTTTTTTTATGATCTGGCTTTTGGGCACCCATGATATAAAGTATTTGGGGCCATCAGCAACACTGAAGGCATATCCACTTGAAATATTTTGACTATACTGAAATAACTAGACCGAACGTATATCAGAGTTGCTGTGCAGAAGTAAACATGCTTGACCTGTCTGATGTGGATGGTTTTTACCCGAGATGGACAAACTCAATACCTGCCGTAGTTCAGGAACCAGCAGAGAGGGGGAAATGTGTTACGTGTCAATATATATACTAATCTCTGTTTCTTGTGGTTTATAAAGTATACATATCCTGAGGATATCACAAAACAAAAAACAGTTAACACTTTGCAAACCTGGTCTTCCCCTGTGACTCTCCTTCTGAAGAAAGGCGGTGTATGATGGGTGCAGACTGGAGGAGAGAAATTCACTGTGCACGACTGTTTGAATAAGTCTATTTGCACAGTCCAGTTCCCAAGTGCTTTGGAGCCTGTTCAAATGACTATGTCACACCTTGAATGCTTGCAAACAAGGATAGTTCGTAAACTGCACAGTCAGGAGAACTGCCAGCACTTTTTGGTGCATTGTATTTCATCAGCCAGTATTTAAAGTGGTGATTGCTTTAGCTAAAAAAAAAAAACAAGACCTTGTAAAAAAAAATTAAAAAACCCACACAAGGCAAAGAAACCACATTATCAAAGCCAAAGTGGAAGCATATTTCACAAAAATAGGAATAGAACAAGAGGTAAAGCTCTCTTAATGGAGAGAAATTTTTTTTAGAGGACACAGGACATCTTTTAGCAGGAGCTATGGTGGACACACAGAATGGACTTCCAGCAGATGATGCATTGAGAGAGAGTCCAGTGCTTCCTCGAACGTGGCTGGAATCTATATTTGTGCCTGTTGGTGAAATAGACCAGTGAAGTTTATCATAGCAAGAGATACAACTTGGCATCTCCAACTCTTCTTAAAGCACTCGACTAAGGGAGGAAGGACGAACAAGACCTTATCTTACTGCATTTGGTTAATAAGACACCAAATGTTTGTTTTGTACTTCCCCCGGAATGAAGTTTCACCATGAGAAAACGTGGCAGAACACAAATAATTCAAAATGCTGTAACGATGGTGAGTTATGAGCCAGCAAAGTTTAGTGGAGAAAAGCACAACATTCTTAAAATATCCCAATACAAAAAAGAATGATTTCTCCAACTAGATGTTACATTATGTTTATTTTATACATAAGTAATTTTGACATCATAGATACAATCCAAATACACACAGTAGTCAGCATTTTTTTTGTAACTTCACACTTCGGGGAAGAGAGAAGAATGACTAAACCATAAAAAAATAAAAAAAATAAAAAATTTAGAATGCTATGAACAAAGTCAAAACACACCGTTTGTCATGAGTCAAACAAGCTCCTATAAAATGACTTGTCTTACCACTGCCATCTACTCCATAGACTCAAATGACATTTAACCCTTTACAGATCAGCATGCCATGATTATCCAAATGCTAAGATCTTTACCTAATCCTGGGCTTGAAGCGGTCAATATAGAACACATGATGTTTACGGTTTACAAGCAAGGCTAAATTTTAAAGTAGAAATACTTGGCTTTTACCGCACAATTTACCTCCATCTTGCTCCTGACTTTCTGCCTTGAAATAAAGCTTCAGATATCTGCCCTCTCGAAAAGTAAATGTAAAATTAACTCCTTAAGGACACATGACGTGTGAAATGTCATGATTCCCTTTTATTCCAGACGTTTGGTCCATATGGGGTTAAATTTGATTATTAAAAAAAAATAATAAAAAAAAAAAAAAAAAAAATCTACAATATTGGTTATCCATTTTATTGCCAGAAGTGAGCAACAGGTTGAGTCATGATGCACAGTTGGCCCTGTGGCAGAATACTCATCCTTATCTTCAATACAAGCTATCTACAGAGAACATTCACCAATCCTTTTCCCCTTTCATCGGACTAGACACTGTGCACCCTGTAATTATAGCAATCTCAACTTGCCTTTTTTTAGTAAGGCATAAGATGCTTTGTAACCCTTTCCTCTCCGACCATATTTTGTCATTGTGGTTTGTCAACTCTCCTCCCTCTACTTGACCACTCGAAACCGTTAATCACGCTCCAAAGGGATTGAAAAGAAAAATCCAGGGAGGAAACAAAAATAATACAGCAAGCAGGCAAAATTTATCCTTTTCAATTCACACACTTTCACACTCCGAAAAGCAGAACTAGCAGGTTTCTGCTCCCACTGAGAAGCTGTGAAAAGATTGGAGACTGAATGTGTGCAAACAGGACTCTAAAGCGGTAAATCACCTGCCGGCAGGGAACACAACCTCTTGGGTATCCAGCAGAGACACTTGATGTTTGCAAGGGTTTTCCTCACAGGGACAGGCGGACACAACATTATTAAACGGATATTTCTCACTAGGAGCAGTGTCTGAGATCTAGCCAACTCGAAAAATTGTCTGCTTTTAATCAGGAAGGATAGAGAGAGATATATTTATAAAAAAACACTTAATGCGGTGGCACATCAGAAATTCCCGGCCCACCCAATACGCCATTGTCTTGTTTAATAATCTGAAATAAGATTATCTGCACCTTCTATTTAGAACATTTATTCAAAAGTATTTTCGGAAACTCTTGGCTTTGAGAAACGAGAGGTCTAAATAAAAAAAATAAAAAAATCCACAACACCATTTTTTATTTTTAAAGTAAATTATGTTTAAAAGATTTTTTTTTTAAATGAAAAATATAAATCAAATAAAAGCAGAAGCTTTTTTTGAAACAGGGCCCTTTTCATTTCCTTTCGTCCTGCAGGGCAAAACCCTTTAAAGTGAAAGTATCATTTGCAGTATCTTGACAATTTTTACAAAGACAAACAGGAGATGCCTGGAATGGAGAGGCAATTATGCTTATCTAAACGTCACTTTCCTCCAACCCATCATTATTATGATTTATATAGCACCAACAGATTCCGTTGAGCTTTACAAAATTATAAGAGGGTTTAACTATAAATAGGACAATTACAAAAAACTTACAGGAACAATAGGTTGAAGAGGGCCCAGCTAAAACGGGCTTACAGTCTGAAGGAGGTGGGGTGTAAAACACAATAGGACAGGAATCATCATCATCTTTTGGGTTCAGTATGTAGCTATTGCTGCCGGGACTGCATCGTTATTGTACTAACTGCAAGAACAAAATGGGGGACTATAAGTTTTGCGCGAGAGCGGCCATAGATACCCTTGTGCACTGCAAGCAGTAGCTCTGTTCATTGTCAAATTTTGCCATGAGGAGTCCAAAAAAAAAAAAAAAAACATAGATGTCTGTTATTGATTGCAATGGAATTTCAGTTTCTACGCGGTATCAAGGTTATTCCAGCTTTGTGAGGAAAATGGAAATATGACAGTGCTGCTTTAAAGGATGAATGACAGTATGTTTAGTTATAAAAAGCTTAATTAAAGGTTTCTATACCAAAACAAAGACTCCTACTCCAATTTACATCTGGGCACTATAGAGCTTACATAATAAACAGGCCAGGCTGACCCTGGGCTGTATTTGCCACGTGACAAACAAGGCATTTGCCAAAAAAACGCTGCCCTAAGTGACCAGGCAAATGCCATGTTTGCCTCATCCTGGGGAGCCCAAGAGTGCGCCCTAATGCTTTCAGACACTCAGCGTGTGGCGAGGGAGCGCACTCCTATGAGCTCTTTCTGCTCCCTCACATGCCTTACTATGATGCTGAGAGCCGGAATAGGACGTCACTCTGGCCCCAGAGATGCGCGAGGGAGCAGAACAGGAAGAGCTCAGTTTCCTTGACGTCTCCATAGAGCGTCTGCCAGTCCGCCCAGCAAGGAGCCAGCCCAGCAGCAATCAGGGACATGATCCACTCCAGTTCTCCCAAAGGTAGGGAGTCTGGGTGGATTTAAATAACAAATAAAAAAAAAATTAAAAAAAATTGGAGAGTCTATGAGAAAATGTGTGTGTGTGTGTGTGTGTCAGTGAGTGAGTGAGTGTCAGTGAGTGAGTGTCAGTGAGTGAGTGTCAAATCAATGAGGATGTTTGTGTCAGTGAGTGCGTATTAGTGTATGTGTATCAGTGTGTGTCTGTCAGTGAAAGTGTGGATTGTTTAAACAGTGTGTGTGCGCCAATGACGGTCAGTGAGTGTGTCAATGAGGAAGTGTGTCAGTCAAAAAAAAAAAAAAAAAGTGGCTTTGGTACGATGTGATGGGGCAAATTTAGAGATTCGGGGGTGCCCGAATTTACTTGTGCCTAGGGCAGCACAAATCCAGAATACACCACAAGGCTGACCTAAGGTTTCTTAAGGACTATTTGATGAACACTTCCAAACATCATTGATCCTTAAAAAGGAACACGTGAAGCACCATAACCACTATGTATCAGTTTTATATCAAAAGTGCCCTGGCATCTCCCCCTTAAGTAAATAAATAGTCAAACCATTTGACTTCTTAAGGTGTAATAGTAAGCAAATAGGAGAAAAAAGCACTTGGAAGATCTGGGGGAAAAAAAAAAAAAAAATTATCCAGGAAACCAATCCTTGCTCGTACAAGTTTATTAAGAATAATTTACACATGGCTATATAACAGAGCAAGTAATAGTGAACAGACAAAAACAACAAGCAATGTCCATGCACCTGTATGAAGGGGAGGTGGGGAAATACAAAGCACCTAAGTGAACAGTGGATGTGTTGCACATCTACAGACGCTTTCTGAACACGTTAAACCATGGAGCTTAGCCATGTAATCCGGAACTCAGAGCTGAGAGATTCCGGCTGCAGTGGATGCAGGAATCTTTGCCCAGCAGACCCCAGATACGAAGTCAAACCATCGGCAAACAGTCAGACTTGTTACATTTAAGGGGTAGAGGGCACCACGGCACTCCTGACACTATAACCATTAAAGCACAATGTTAAGGGGGTTATTTATTTATTTTGCATAGGCCCAGTCCGCAGCAATGCAGAATTATTTTATACCAGTCATTGTTGGACTACATATTAATATACTGTAACTAAATAACCAAACAAAAGCAGGACAACTAAACGTCTGGTGGCAGCCATTTTGTTTCCTAGGGGACAACCACATATGAAGCTGTAGCTCTATTACAGAGAAGTAAACAATGCATCCATTAAATTAACAGGAATACCAACTATACCTATTCTGTCTGCGCACTGTTAGATATATAATCTGTTATATACATCAGAATTTATCATTATTAGTCATGCCAGCTTACAAAAGCCTACTTAAAATTTATAGAAAAAACAAAAACACACTTATTAAAAAACACACTTGTTTTTGTTTGCACATGTGAAATCTCCTTTACCAAGATTGAGTAAACAGAAAATTCCCCCCTCAACCCCCCCCCACCCCCCCCATTTTCTCCTCCCCATTGGTGTTATGCTACACCAAGAACAGCTATAGTCAACATATGTATCATACATAATATATTCTCCAACTCAGAAACAGACAGAATACACAGCTCAAGAAATAAAGGCTACTGCAGTGCAAACAGCCCAACCCTTTCTCATTTGTAAATACGTTGCAACGTAAAAGCCAATAATTATTTCCTAACAAGAGAAAACTTACTAAAGCGTCTGTAGCAGTCTGTTTTTAACGTGCACCCGAAGGCAACTTTCCAGATATGTAACAAAGTGAAAGGAATACGGTTTCCATTTCTGCAGAATACGTTACCAGGAGGCAAAAACAAGAATCGCTGTGTTAATTAAAAAAAACGGCAAATTATTCCTAATGATCAGACTAATTAAAAACAGGGTTAACATATCAGACTATTAAGAGTCGAAAAGGTTTATTGGACATTTAAAAAAAAAAAAAAAAAAAAGAAGAGGTCGATTCAGAAGAATAAGCAGGCCAAAAGGCGGAAATTGTAGAAGCACAATAACTCGACCTTCTGTATAGCCTAAACTTAGTTCAGTTTGAACGCAGAAGAACGTTTGGCTGCTAGACCATGTTTATTTCCGTAAGTGTCCACAGAGAGCTGCCCATGTCATTTGAACTTGGAAGAATATCTTTATAAACCATCCTAGCAGGAAGTTTACATTGACCTGGAATTATGGTCTACACAAGTATTTGTAGAATTTAGGATCCCAAACGCAAACAGACTGCAAAACTGTTCTAGACTAGCAGAAATTTGGAGGGAAGGGTGGGGTTATTATTTTTATTTTTAATGTTTCATGAGCTTTATGTGTTTTCACTTTCCATTTTGTGGAACAGTTTCATGGTTTGCAACTTTAATTCTTGGGCCGTGGTGTGTGGTCTTCATTAAATAACTGCAAGGAGTCCATAAAATGAGTTAGCTGGAGATGATGCATGGTTAGTATGTGCATTCTTTCAAAGAACACTACCAGCATTACAAGTCTGATAACTATTGCTCACTGTGTATTGATGACCAAGAAATAATCATCAGTCAGACCGAGTGATGTGGTTTGGCTTCTCCACAACAGTCAACGCCATCTTCCATCTTCCTGGAAAGAAGACATTGGTATCTGAAGAATGTTGACAATGCTTCAACCTCACAGCACTCTCTGCTATCCTACAATACAGAATTGGACGAAGAAGCGCACATACACACGTCTTACTAAATGGGAGTCAAGGGTCCAGATGCACCCATTTAATCAATTGCAGGATTTCTAAAGCCGGATACGTCCGTCATTCTCCTTGATATAGAAATGAGTACCTTCAGTCCGAAAGCTTGGGCATGTTATAGAGATTCTACCACAAAAATGGTAATTTCTGTAATCAAAACAGCAAACGAGGCAAACATAAAGCCATACTTACAATAATCTGTGCATTTTATTAACACAAATAACCAGAGAACAAATAACTCCTCATTCACACACTGCTGTCCACCACGGAATATATTTTAGTAAAAGGACTTGTATTTCGCCTAGACCATCACTTGATGTTGTGAAGGGGAAAAAGTATCCAAACACGAGGAAAGGAAGGTATAAGCTCTATATTAAGTACAAAGAATGAAGAAAAGAAATAGATGGCTATATTGCTAATAAAGTGTAAAATCTATCCAGGAACAGTGAAAACGGTCAACTTTTAAAATTCAAGTTTGTGAAACGCAAACTAAAAGGGAAGACTGAGCATAACCAATGAAAGAGACGGGCTCTAAAAAAGTAATTTTGCCTTTTTAAAATGTGATATATTTCTAAGATGTGTGCACGCCACTTTTTGCAGATCTGGCAATAACTGCATGAAGAGAACATGTTTGATCTGTTTAATAAAGCAATCTGGAAATTTATATAATTTCTTATTAAAAGAATTAAAAATCAGACAACCAAAAAAAAAAAAATCTCACTCTTTATAAAAAATAATTCACAGAGTAAAAGACCAAAATGAAATTGATAGAGGGTGAACCAGGTTAAGAAAAGATTGCATTTGTAAGAGAGTTTTCGTTTTCTTCCGAGAAGAGTGAAAACGTTGATTTTTTTTTTAATCTTTCACAAAATGAAAAAAAATAAAATTAAATTAAATTAAGAGAAAAACAAAACCATAAAAAAAAAAAAACACCCAAAAAACACAACAAGAGCAGCTCTAGAGGCAATTTTTTTGGATACGAAGATCAAAACATAACTGAAGAAGTAAAATCTAAATGAAACCTGTTAAGAACCAGAAATCAGTCCCGAGCTAATTCCCGCTATGTTAAGCTCACACAGACATGCAAATTATAAAATTTAGAGATTTTCTCAGTAACGCATGTGCAACATTTAATATTATGGATTCCACTGCCCAGTCTGCTGGGGTTGTTGTTTCACGAATGGCAGATGGGGCGAGAGATTGTGGGGCAATTAGAGGTCACGACAGGGCTGAACCCCTTTTAAATGAACAGGAGTGAAGGAGGAGGGGTTAAAGAGGCTGGGTGTGGCTAGTGACCTCAATTAACCTCTTCACTATCCAAGGAAAACCTGGAACATACAAAGCTCAAATCTATAGATAGAAGAGTCAAGCACTTTATTTAACCCCTTAAGGACCAAACTTCTGGAATAAAAGGGAATCATGACATGTCATGTGTCCTTAAGGGGTTTTAAAGGTCCAGTTCACTATTCTGGTTATAAAACGCACTGCAATATTTTAGTAACAATGTTTACATAGCACCCATATCAAGAGAATTTAGAAATGTGTTCGTGCCATTTATTCCCATGACTTTAAAGAGAATATATATCTAGATCACAAATTGTTTTGTTCTCCTGTAGTTTAATTGTGAGATCAGTTATTTCCCCACAGCACAGGTTGAGTGCATATGTGCACCCAAGAAAATGGAGTACACACAAACTTCATCCCAGAGCCCAATTTCACACAAGTATTTAACTCGCTAATTGCAAGTTTGCTGGAAAAACTGTCTCGGGCGTTACGAAAGAGAAAATGCTGGGTTTCACATACAACCTAAAATACAAGGGTTGATAGAACCCACACAAAACCTTATCTTAAAATGTAAAAAAAAAAAAAAATGAGATAGATATAGATAGATATATATACACACACACACACACACACACACTTTTTATTTAAAAGCCATGTTTGCCATATAAAGGATACAGAAATATGTTTCTATGTTTTAATTTCTTAATTAACACTCTTGAGATATAAATACAGACACAGATAATTATCCTCAGTCAGCCTTGAGACAGGAATTTAAATGGGAAGGAACGAACAGACTACAACAGTGAGTCAGACTACACTCTGGGTTTAGGGGTCGGGAAACCGAAGAATTTCACAGTCTTTCATCTCATATATACTCTGTGTGTGGCAGCAATTCTCAACAGTAACAGATACAGAGGAATAGATCTATCATTGCACTAGGTATTCACTGGGCATCAAACTGTACTCTAGTATTTAATACAATGATAAAACAAGTGCGTAGGAAAAGGTCTTCCCCAATATCTTAGAAGATAACGTGCCAAGTAACCACATTACAAGTTGAATGAGGGCAAATGTAGACAAGTCTCCAAATTCCACTGAAAAACATGGCAATGTCAAGTACCAGTAGTGGTACCACAGAAATTAGGCAGGATCTTTTGATACATTTTTGGCTACATTTCCTGTTATTATACATTTGTCAAGTCCATCAGACACCCAAGTCAGGTACAATTACATCAATTTACCTTAACTGTACTTTAATTTGTTAAATATTGAACAGACTGACAATCAATATACAAAATTGTTACATTATGATAACTACACACAAACAATCTCACAAGAAAAAAATAAAACATTTTAGGTGGGGGGGGAAGAGAGCGAGAGGCAGCACAATTTACGTAAACATCAATAAAGTTAGAATGTTATAGGGCACTGAACCCATTTTAAAATCTTCACACCTTTAACCCCTTAAGGACACATGACATGTGTGACATGTCAGGATTCCATTCTATTCCAGAAGTTTGGTCCTTAAGGGGTTAAAAGGTCAAGGAAAGGGTGAAAACATATCTGGTGCTCTGTGTCACACGGCAGGAGACTGTGTGGGATACCAACAGTCAATACACAGCATAGGCCTGTAGCCAAGACTTCCCAAATGTCCATATTATTACCCTTATTTAGGTTCTGAATTTCCCCAATTAACACCCCAATCAAACAGCTAGAAGGGTTTAAATGCCAAACCAGAAAGACAGACTTGCAAGACCATATGGCATTGGACAAAAAATAAATAAACCTGTATTTTATTTTTAAAAAGACCTGCTGTTTATCATCCACTAATACAGTATAACAGCAGTGGAAATAAACAGGTGGAAACTGTCAGAACAGATTTATGTTTCATAGACGATGAGGCCCATATACACTATTTCAAGACACTGGAGAACACATTGACACAAAACACACACAATCTATATTATGACACTGAGACACGGTTACAAATAAAACTAGCTCATAAACTTTAGTTGCCCAAAGGGCTAAACGCCCCAAAATCATCCGCTAGAGTTAAGAGAGCTCACTAGAAAAAAAAAATAATAATAGTGTGTGTGTGTGTGTGTGTGTGTGTGTATGTATATATATATATATATATATATATATATATATATATATATATATATATATATATATATATATATATATATATATATATATATATATATATTTTATTTATTTAAAGAAATAAATAAAGTTAGCTATATCTGAAAAAACCTAATTCATATGATAATCTGGAGACTTTTATTTATGACCCAGTGAGTTGTGATCATTTCAGAAAAAGTAAATACATAAAAAAAAAACAAAAACAAAAAAAAAACAAAACACTGGTTTCAGACAAAGTTTAAAAATGTGATCAGTAGCTTGCTGTTAAGCGAACCCGAGTCTTTGTGTATCTACATATTTAACACACACATTTAAAATGTACAGGTTATCAGTTACAGCCTTGAAATTTGCATTTATTACAAGCACCCCTCATGTGCATCAGTCCTAGACCAGCGATCTGGAGATTGATGTATAAACAAGTTCCAGCAATATTCTGACTGTTTATACACAAATGAGTAACAGTGTTTACTGAGCGAGGTCTGCTAAACCAGCACAATGTAATGCTGTTAACATATATCAAAAGAGTGTAGCATACAAATAGTAGGGTTTGGAAAATGCTTTGGAACAGATTAAAAAGTAACAGATACGCACACTAAAGAAATCTTCAGTCTAGTCTGCAGAGCTGACACTCTGAAATGTGTGTGTGTGGGGGAGGACGGAGATGGGGATTAGCCCTGCTGGGACAGATGGGATTGTAGCACGGGAAGTACAGTTTAGACAGGAAAAAAAATAAATCATCTGAAATGAGTTATACAGAGACTGGGTAATTAGGTTTCTGCTCAGTCGGCATTTAACCCTCTGCATACTTCCATAACCCTATGCAGAAACTTTATTCAGGTCGGTCAAAGGGGAATGGTAGGGGCATGGACTAAGTCTGTGACCAGCCTAGTCAAAACCAATTATTAAGTTGTTTGAGCAGGGTCCTCACCAGCCTATTGTTCCTGTAACATTTAGTAATTTTTCCTATTTATGTTAAATTTCCTCCTTTATAACATTGTAAAGCGTCATGAAATAAGTTGGCGCTACATACATGCCAATAATGGTTACAATAAGCTAATACAGTAGACACACACAGTATACAGTACTTTTTTCCCTAAAATGTAGCAACCCTAGCTGGCACTTAAAAGGACACTATATGCACCCAGACAACTTCAGCTCATTGTTTACATTGCAGCACTAAGTCTGCCTAGAGTGGCTGTCTCCCAGGCGCTTCCTGGATCCCAACGGACCTTTGGTCCGGTATCTGACGCTGGACGTCTTCACGAGGACATCCAGTGTCAGATTTTTCCCCATAGAAAAGCACTATGAGGTCTAATGAGCACGCAGCATTTGGCTTGCATGTGCATTAGAACCCATTCGTCGTGGGACAGATAACCAAAACCCAGCTTTGAAGGACATCAGCACTGGGATAAAGTAAGTAAATAATGGGGTTTTAACCCTTTATTCAATGACTGGGGGAACGTGAGGTAGGGGCAGAGGCAGAGGGAGCTATAGTCCCAGGAATACAGCTTTGTACTCCTGGCACTTATAGTATCCCTTTAAGAGAATGCAAAGAAAAATGTTGCATGAGGTAGGCATAAATTATACCTAATACAACGTATAGGTCAAACAATGTCCTTGGCAGCTGCTGGGATGCAGAGATCGACTGAAGTCACAGCATAAAATGTTACAATTTTGAGCAAAGCACTCTATACAGAGATTTCATAACACGTGTGGGGCAAGATATATGCTAATTAATGGCACTTCAGTGCAAACGTTACCATGCAAGCAGAGGTCCTGACTGTGTCACTTTAGGACATCAGGAAGAGGCCTCCAGATGAATAGGTTACCCACATCTGTCCTAACCGGGCCCTGAATGTAACAGGGGGCTTCCAAGCCTTTGTTACAGTTAGCACTGGATGAATATCAATGGAAAGGGGGCAGTTAAACAAATGCACAATGATACAATGATTAACACCAGCTTTTGTGTGTAGATCACCGCTAAAGAATGAAGCGGAGCAAAATACCCCGAGGGCTGGAAGCTTATATTAATTAACCAGCTGCCTGCAGGGACATACAGCAGTCTAACCAAAAAAAGAACTCTCTGGTGTCAACAAATACACACTTTTGGGAAAAGATAAAAAAAAAAAAAAGTGTGTGTGTAAATTATATATATATATATCTCACACACACACTTTTATTCCTGTCCAGGGCCGTGGAAAATGGTAACACATCTACTGCGAAATCATCAGCCAAAATAAAAAAACAAAATTAAAAAAAATTGTGTTAAAAAATTGCAGCGTTCAGATTTTCCACTTGCCCACTAGTCATTACAAAATGAAAATCTATCCCTAGGCTTGTAGTGGCAAGTCAATTTTAGGCCTGGCTAGTAATGTAGAACCACAATTTCGACTACCGATAATTTTAATCAGAACAGGGCCATTTATCATTTTACTAGTTTCCAAAACTGAATTAAAATAAATAAACCTAATAATCTGCACTTTTTATGTTATAACAGTGATAAAAAGTGTAAAGATTTTGAATCTCATTTGCGTTTTGCAGAAATGTTAGACTATCACTGAATCTCTACACAACATCTAGTCTGGTTATAGAGGGCATAGCAGGTGCTCTCAAACAAATGATGTGTACGTGCATACAACCTTCAATTGCTTCTTAGAGACTATGCACATGCGGTAGGACAGATATCTTGACAGACTGGGTTCAATCACACAACACCTAGTCCAAGCAGGGTAAACTCAGGTAAATACTATAGAAGTTGTAAGCTTTTAAACCTCACTTGCCATGAGCAAGATATCGCTTTATATAGAGTATACAAACCCTCTTTTCTGTCTGCAAAGCATCCATTGGGTTAAGTGCTGTAGAAGGGGCAGAACATTTTAAACATAACCTTTAATCTATACTTTGACAGTAAATGTCATCACTGTGATGTATTGATTTCTGTACAAACTATGAGGACTGCCATTGATCTATTTTGTTTTTAGTTTCCTTAAAAGATTCACTCTAGTGTCAGAGATACAAACATGTATTCCTGACACCATAGTGCGTTTTGTAGTTGTTTAGGTCCCCCCACTCCCACCCCCCTTTTTAGATTACTCTGAAAAGGTGTTTAAAAACTCACCTTTTCCCCCCATGCCGGTTTTGCCACAGCTGGCTCAGCCTCTGTCAATGAGATCAGTTTTGATGATTTCAGCCAATCCAATGCTTTCTGATAGTTGTGCATTGGGAGGCTATTGTGCATGCGCAGCAAAACAATGCACTGCGCTAATCAGCATCTCCCCACAGAGATGCATCGAATCAATAATCCATGTAGAGTGTGGAGATACTGAGAGTCAATGGCCCACTGACCCAGAAAGCACCTCTAGTGGTGGTCTGCGTGACTGCCACTAGAGGTGGTGCAACTAGTCAACTATGTAAACACTGCCTTTTATCTGAAAAGGCAGCATTTACAGTGCTAACCCTGCAGGGACAGGCTATAGAACCAGAATCACTATCTTAAGCTGCAGTGGTTCTAGTGAATATAGTGCCAATTTAACAAATAAATAAAATATAAAAATTGAAGAATTCCCAGAATGCATTTGAATGTTTCCCCGATTTGCATCTCTTTATATCTTTAAGTGTTTTACAAATTCTGAGAAATTAAAATGCTCGGGTTACCTTAAATGACCTCAGAATAATAAGTCTGTATCATGACATTTTTCTTATTTGATTGAAATGCTACATTGAGTTATGAATTCATGTAGAAGCTAAATAAAATTCTATATGAAAATAAAATTATAAAACTACATTTACAAAACTAGAGAATAGAGGTTTTCAAAAACCCACATACACACACTCAGTGGAATTAGATCATTTTCCCATCAGAAGTATTTACAGACACACAAAAAAGTAAAGGGTTTCTGCATGCTGAATTTACTCGCTAAACACTGGGCAATGGTCAGCTAAAAAGCAGATCACAAAATACAGACAAAAGACTACCATGTTTGTTTCTTTGCCACATTTTATACAATTTGCAGTTGCTTTTCAGTTTGCTTATGAAATTAACCCATAACTGTGTAGAGTGTGAAGTGTTAAACGGACACTGTAGGCACTCAGACCATTTCAGCTAATTGATGTGGTCTGAGTACACTATTGCCCTTAGTGTTTACATTGCATCTCTAGGTCTGCCCACAGTGGCTGTGTAATATAGTCACTGGAGGCACTTCCTGGATCCTAAAAGGACCTTTGGTCCGGTATCTGACGCTGGACATCCTCACGCTTTGTATAAGGACCTCCAGCGTCAGATTTGTTTCCCATAGGAAAGCATTGATTCAAAGCTTCCCTATGGGGAGGTCTAAAGCGCGCGCAGCATTTGGTGCACATGCGCATTAGCACCCACTCGTCGTGGGCTGTCAGGTGGGGCGGAGCGTCGGCCCAGCGTCGAGGGACATTGGCGCTGGGAAAAAATTAAGTAAATATAGGGTTTTTATTTTCTGTTAAGCTGCATTCTGGGTTGTTCACTAAAATCCAAAGAGTAGTAGCTAGATCGAAGGTGCCCAAAAGGTAGACCCCCAGATGTTGTTAAACTAAACCTCCGATGGTGCTTTGCATGTCTTTAGAATGACAAAGCACCATGGAAGCTGTAGTTTTTAGTTGGGAGATTATTTGCTAAATAGTAAATTGAGGTAAATGGAAAAGCATCTTGCACAAATTCAAGTTATTTTGTCCACTTGCTTGTCAATTGACGGTTAAGTAAAAAGTCCCAGGGCACAGCCACACAGCACCCGGTCTTTCTGACCTCCCCACTGGCAGACTCTAAAGCTCCCGGATTTTGTTGTCCATAGACAGTCCTATGTAGTTCTAAATAGATGGGTCAGCTCCATAGTGAAACTATTTAATCACCAAAATCTAATTAAAAACAGAAAGGGAAGGCTCTGATATGGTAGCTCAGGGGGTTGATGGGAGGGGGGGATTTGAAACATTGTTTGGTATCCTGGGTTAATTCAGCAAGCATCTCATTTTGGTAACAAAGTAAGATTAACATTCATATCTTCCTTGGATTCTAGCTCCAGACCAGAGCAGCCCTGGGCCCATCAGTCAGGAGCCTGGCCAGACCGTCAGAGTACGCACAGGTTCCTTCAGTCACGAACTTGGCAAGAGCAGCAGAGTAGTACCCCCAGGATCCTTCAGTCAGAGGTCTGGCCAGACCGCGTACCCCCCAGGCCCTTCAGTCAGGGTCCAGGCCGGTCAGCCAGAGTACCCCATCCCTGGCCCTTCAGCCAGTGGCCTTGCCAGCCCACCAGATTACAGATAAAGGGGGTTTTAAGTTGGGTGATTTGGAAAATTTGTGTGAGTCCTAAGTGGGCACTAGGGGCATGGTGCCAGACATTATGAAGTGGTTACATTTGGTATAGTGCAGGACTGCGCAGAGAGTGTGTGTGATATAGCACAAGGTGGTGTGTAGTGGCCACATAACTTGACCCTGGATATTCGGAGTCCTACAGTCAGGGGCCAGGCAACCAGCCTGTGCACCCCTGGGCCCATTAGTCAGCCTACCCACATCTAGTCAGGTGCCAGACAACCAACCTGTACACCGCCCGCGTCCTGTCAGGGGCCAGCCCACAGAGCACCCCTGGGCCAATCAGTCAGGGGCCAGCCTAACAGACTGGACAGAAGAAGTAAACAAATCAACCACCAGGTTTTCCTTAAATTACACTGGGTACATCATATACAAAAGTAGATTCATAAAATCCCACACAAGAAGTAGGAGCCCAGGACCACCTGCCCTATGGCCAATCTCCAGTGTCCGATCATATGGCCACCACAGTGCTATACCACATATACCCATTCCTGCACCGCACCCAGTCTTACACCTTGCCACTGGTGCCCACAGCCCTGCGCCACACCTCATGTGACTACTTAATACTCACACTAATTGCCAAATCACCCCACTCAGAGCCCCCTCTCTGTGCCTCGCTGCTGAACCCCAAACTCCCATTTGGCTTTCCCAGATGACAGATTTAAGGGCACAGGAGACCGTGTAATAAACCATAAACAAATGTCACATACAAAATGTTAATGTGTACAAATATAAAACCAGCACAAATAAGATTAGAGGTTACAATATAAATAACCAGCCATGTTCCCTCATTATATACCACCACAGGACCCCTCAAACAAAGCCTAGCACACAGCCTTACTGTCCTTTGTTTCTTAATGATGAGGAAATAAATCTCATTTTCTTCACCCACCATAAACTGATCCACAGCTCTCACAATGAAACAGGCTGGGAGGTGGCTGTCTGTTAATTATTAACGTGGAACATATGATACCAATAACTTAAATTTCACATCACTGTTAAAGCCAAGGCCTCAGAAAATAGAAAAAGTCAGAAAAGGAGTATCCTTAACAGATCTACCCACAGATAAATAGAATATAGCAATTTGTCATTCAAATAAAAACAAACCGGGGGTTAAAACAGGCAGTGGGAAGCTCCCTTCCTGCACCACCCAAGCCCGGGCTGCTTACTCAGGAAAGTCCCAGGCTTCGTGGGGCCTTGGAGTGGGTTTCAGGAAATAGCCAGCAGGGGAAAATGGGTGGACTGACAATTAGGCAATCCATTAAAATAGGCCTCACTCCAAATAGTTCCTACACCCCCTGCTGCAGAGATCAGATTAAATAGATCAGGCACTTCTGCAGTTATAAAGCCTCCCCCCCTCCCCTTTTTATCCACCCATCCCATGCAGACAGGAGCTATCAGATATACAGAGTAAAATATCTGCAGACTGGATCTGCATTCTGCAAAAAGACAGACATCACACAGATCAGACCAACACACACCCCATTTCTATACAATGTATCCATAAAACATGCTTAGAATCCTACAGATCAGAGCATTCCCACAGATCCATGGCCAGCTCAGAGCTGCAGCTCTACAAAATAAGACAGATTTATTTTTCTCCAAAATGTACACACAGAACATGTCCAAATGCCAGAAGCCATGGAGAGATGATTGCATGGAATCATTTACAATGTATCAGATCACTGTTACAGTGTATCCAAGGGAGGGGAAGTGGTGGGGTGAATGCCTCCACCTCCCCCTAACCAGCTCTCCAAGGCAAACTCAGACCCCCAACAAGTGCTAAAAAAAAAATGAGAATGAAATTGAAGATTATATGGAGCTTACCAGTTCACTGAGAAATGTCCCAAGCATGTGCAAGGCTCCCAGGATTACTTCTTGTGGAAGGGGGGAGGGTAGGAGGATGGTGGCTGTTAAAAAAAAAAAAAGGAGGTGGGGATAGTCTCCTTTTGTATCAGGCTGCTTTTGTTTCCTAGTATTACATTAGAAAATCCACAGATCTCTGACAGGAGGTTTGCAGGGGGTTCAGCCAGCTCCCAGCCCTGTGTGTAGAAGGTCCAGTCTCCCAGAGAAAGTATGGGGGATCATCAGAATTTCCAGGCAATATAATCAGCAGGAAGAGCTCCTATGGCTGTGTGTGTATAGCTGGGTGTCTCCTTAAACAGTGTGAAAGCAGTTCCATACACCTCTGTGCTCTTCCAAAGGACAACCCACCCCTCCCTCTTCTGCCCCCTCCTTCTCCTGCCCTCTTACCATTGTCTAAAGCCCAAGATATATATTTTTTTAATGTTTTCCACCAAGGGATACCAACCGATAGACCTTATTTTTGGGATGTTTTAAGTGAGAATATAAACAGATTAACAGAGTCATAAACCCCTTGGGTATTTTATTAATACCATTGCATGTTAATGTATACATTGTGTTATATATATTTTATTTCTATTATCGTGCTTTATTTTATATTTATTTTTTCACAATAACAAAAGAACGGGCCATTTAAATTAAATGTCATACCTACGCAGCATATTCACCAGTATTATATTTGCAATTAAGTTTTTTTTACAAAATATATACGTATATATATTTTTGCAATATAACCCTGTGCTTTGCACAATTCTCTCCCAATCTGCAATACTGGATACTAAGGACTTCTACAAACTACAAATTCCAGAATCCATTGCTGTGCCCATAGCTATAGGATAAGCTCAGCAACAAAATAGAAATAAAATGAACGTTGTGGTTGGTTGAGTCTGTTACTGAGCTCACAACAGAAGCTGCAATGATTTGGGATTTGCAGCAAATGCAGGAAATTTTAATGTAGAATTAATCTTTTTTTTTTTTTTGGGGTGGGGGTGGCTCAATGGTAACATATTAAACAGTTTAAGAATGGTTTGACACTCCATTCAAGAGCAGAGAGACTACAGCTTAGGGGGATAAAGATAGCCTGGGAATGAGGTCCACGGGACGATGCTATTCTTTTCATAATGTTGTACCCCCTTCCCATATTTTCTTCTTTCTGTACCCCATATACAATGCTAAAATTCTCAAAATAAAGAATTTATAAAAAAAAAAAAGAATGGTTTGACACTAACCTGTTCCTGTGAGCTGGTATGGTAAAGTGAAAGTTCATATTTAAGAATTATCATACCAACTCATACCAAGCTGGGTCATTACTTCCCCCACCTTGGTATGATAATGCAAGTATGAACTGCCCCTATTATATCATACTAGTCCAAACCTGGGTGACCTGAAACAGTAAAAAAGGGAATTGGAGGCACATTCGTATCATGCATTGCTCAGTAGTGGAGTGGTGATCTTTGTTACAGCACCACGTCAGCGAAATGCATGTTCTGTTTGTGCCCCCAATTCTCTTTTTTCGGTGTATATTTGGAATCCAAACTAGATTCCTTTTGGGTGGAGGACACCACCCCTACACCATAGGCACCTTTTGGAGTCTTCACATAGGAGCTTATGGCGCTAAAGCTTCAGGCCCGTGCCCATGGAATAGGCCAGTTAGAGGGACACTCTAAGCACCAAAACAACTTCAATTAAATGAAGGATTCCCCATTCACTAAACTGGCTTGAAAATAGTACGTTTTTTTCCAAGCCAGCTTAGTGAATGGGGAGTCACTGATTGGCTGACAGCGTCAACTGAACGCTCCCAGCCAATCAGAGGTGCCCGTGGCCGGCGACACACTGTGCGTCCTGAATCTGAAAATTCAGAAGCTTGATAACTCCAGGGGGAGTAGAGATTGCTGTTGGAGGCAACTTTTTGAGTGTCTCCAGGGGCCTCTTGGCACCATAACAACTTCATGTAGGTGAAGTTGTTTTGATGCTTGGAGTGTCCCTTTAGAGGAACACTGTAGTGTGAGGAATACACACATGTATTTCTAAAGCTATAGTTCTAAAATGGTGGATAAAAAGGTGAGTTTACTCACTTTTTCCCAGCACCATACGTGACGTAATTCGCAGCATAATGCTGCACTGTGCCAATCAGCATCTCATCATAGAGATGTATTGAATCGTTCAGCACTGACACAGGATGCACTTCTAGTGGCTGTCTGAATGATGGCCACTAGATGTGTTCCTAGGCAGTAATGTAAACAATGTATTTTCTCTGAAAATACATTGTTTACATTAAAAAGCCTGCAGGGACATGACCTAAACACCAAAACTGCTTTATTTAGCCAAAGCTGTTTAGGGTCTATAGTATCCCTTTAAGAGGAGTGTAGGGGAACAAAACGTGTGTGGACTGGCTGACATTGAAATTAGTTAAAGGGACACTATAGTCACCAGAACAACTACAGCTTAATGAAGTTGTTCTGGTGAATTTAGTCAGTCCCTGCAGTTTTTTTGCAGTAAACACTGTCTTTTCAGAGAAAAGACAATGTTTACATTACTCCCTAGGGACGCCTCAGATGGCTGTTAGAGGTGCTCTCTGGGGCAGTGCTGCACAGTGTGACTGACATTCAGTGTCTCCACCCTCTGCATGGAGACACTAAACTTTCCTCATAGAGTTGCTGATTGGCCATGGTGGTGTTTAGTCCAGCACCCCCTCCCTGCCTCCTTGGGTGAGATCATCAGAATTAACAATGTCAGCCAATCCAAGGGTAGGGCATTGTGATTGGCAGAGATCATCACTTCTGATTATGTCAGCCAAGCAGGCAGATCAGGGGCAGAGCCAGCACCAGAAACTGGAATAAAGGTAAGATTACAATATTTAGAGGGGCGAGGGGAGGCTAGATGGTGGTTTTAACCCTAAAGGGTAAGGAATACATGTTTGTGTTCCTGATCCTATAGTGTTCATTTAAGGTAAAGCTGACTTTGCACCCTCTGCAAATGCTCTTGCTACTTCAATCTCTCTAACACTGTGGCATGTTCCTTTTCTTCTACACTTGGTCTGCTAGCAAGAAGGTAAGGAGAAGAACGGACAAGTGAGTGCTAGGGAACAGTCCCCGTAAAGCATAGACCAAGCGCATCATTAGACGCATTTGCGCCAAGCTTAGTACAATATCTGCATAGTACGCCATTAGTTGGCAGCCCTTAGTGATTGGAGGGCAGCATGACATGCATTCACACCAAGCTAATCTTCCAAGTCATAAGGCAGACCAGACCCCTTTCTGGACATGGTCCACAACATCTGGAGTGTCTCAGGTTACCTACCTCTGTTTTTAGGTTAACGGTGAAACTGGAAACTACTCATAGAAACATAGAATGTGACGGCAGATAAGAACCAATCAGCCCATATAGTCTGCCCGATTTTCTAAATACTTTAATTCCTTGGCCTTATCTTATAGTTAAGATAGCCTTATGTCTATCCCATGCATGCTTAAACTACTTCATTGTGTTAACCTCTATCACTTCAGCTGGAAGGCTATTCCATGCATCCACTACCCTCTCAGTAAAGTAATACTTCCTGATATTATTTTTAAACCTTTGCACCTCTAATTTAAGACTATGTCCTCTTATATAGTATCCTCCTTTACTGTGTTGATTTCCTTTATGTATTTAAATGTTTTTATCATATTCCCATCTCATCTTTACTCCAAGCTATAAATGTTAAGATCAAAGATCAATAAACATATAAAGGTATTTGAATATTTGTGCGTTCCACACACAGTACAAGTGCTCTTGACCTCTTCTGATTTTTTTTTTCTTCTCAACGGAAGCATTGCCAACTGACTTGTCACCTTTTTTTATAGACCCCCTGTGGACCATTAATACAATTTACATCTCAAGGCCAGATGAGAAAGCTGGGATTAAGGTGTAAGCAATTCATTTGAAATAATTTGCATTTCTAGGTGATCGTATAGACGGATAATACTTCCATAATCAACCAATAACCTAAATGTTATTAGTGGGAGATGGTCTTATTGAAAACCAACAATACGGGCACTTACAGTGGCGTTATCTGACAATGTCAGCAATCACAATCTATCTGGCGGAATAATAACGAAACAGATTAACACGAATGAAAACACAACAAACAAATACAAATTGCACAAGATAAAACAGATGTTTGAGGCTGGCCTTGGGGGCATTTACCTGCATGAGTTTTTTGGTTGGAATGTATCAATTAACATGTAATTAACAAAATAACTGACTAATAAATATAACAGTAGGAAATGAAGAACTGGGCAGGTTTGTTCGCAAAACCGAGAATTATGGAGAAACAACCACAACAAGAGGACATATTCCTAAATTAGAGGGGCAAAGGTTTAAAAATAATATCAGGAAGTATTACTTTACTGAGAGGGTAGTGGATGCATGGAATAGCCTTCCAGCTGAAGTGGTAAAGGTTAACACAGTGAAGGAGTTTAAGCATGCGGGGGATAGGCATAACTATAAGATAAGGCCAGGGACTAATGAAAGTATTTAGAAAATTGGGCAGACTAGATGGGCTGAATGGTTCGTATCTGCCGTCACATTCTATGTTTCTAAGAATTTTGAATTTTACACCATAATAGCTAAACTGCAAAAATAGATGAGTTTGCAAATGCACTTAATTTAGCATATAATTTGCAATTCTATTGTCAGTTCTCTACATCTGCAGTTTTAGTAAAATGTACTGTCTCAGTGACACGAGCTGAGATTCTGGACTCATAGGGGAAGATTTATTTTAAAAAAATGTGACTGATTTTAATACTTTTTATACACGACGCATATATTGCTTTGACATTCTTTTCAAACAGTTTTTATTGAAAATGTTCCAAAAAATTGTATAAACAACAAAATCAATAAAGTAGAAAAAAATAATGGGAGGGGAGAGGGAATTATCCCTCTATATGGTGGTTTTAAATGGTTTGACTTCTTAACTGGTGTATGTAATGTTCCGCTTCTGGGCTCCACACTGGTAGTGGAGGTAGGGAGCGGTGATCAGTAGTCCCCAATGCCTTACAATGTGCCAGGTCACATGTGGCACCATCAAAGCTGTAGTTGTTATGGTGCAGTAGTAGTTATGGCGCTTGCAGTTTCCTTCAATATAAAGTGTTTCTTACAGAAATTAAAAAGAAAACAAAATATCTTGTGAAAAAAAGTTTAATAAAAAGGTTTTATTTTATTAAACCGTGCTATTTCCAGTGAAGTGACGAGGTCCCTTTAAAAGCATTAGCCTTTATATCAGAGTCCACGTTTTCTAATAATATCAGAAGGTTTAGTGCTCTGAAACCAAAGATTAGGTAACT